ATTTGTTATCGTTATCAAAATATAATTGTTATATTTTGGTGAGCATTCATTTGTTAGAAACGATCCGAGAAAGGGAGTGGACTTAAGCTGTTGGGCCTAGCCCAACTTAACGCATGTTAGGGTTTTCACAATGAGCATATAAATAGGATTTATATATCTTGTGAAAGACACCAAAAAAAAAAAAATCGACACAAGATAAGCTAAAAACCCCAGCCTCTCTCCCTCCATCAGTTGTCCACTTTGCAGTCGAAACCCTATCTCCGCCCCCAGCCGTCGCACTGCCGCCAGTCGCTGCCGCATCGGCAACTTCCTTTTCTCTTGTTCTTCTACGTTGTACTTAGCCTATCACGTATCTAGTGCAGCGTGGAGTGGATTGAATATACGAGGTCAAACCTAAGAGGAGCAAGATTATTCTGCCACCAACCCTGCCACGAAGGTCATCTCCACGCGCCTCTACGCACCGCCACAGGCCGGTGTTGTGAGAAAGCAATTCTGAAAAACAGCTCTCGGATTTTTCTGCGCAGTCCAGCGAGAAAATTCCCCGTTAATCAACCAGCAATCAGGTCAACGTGATATTTTGGCTGACGATTCACAACTCAAAAATCAAATATCTCACAAAAGGAATTGCGCATCCAGTCTATAATCATGGAGATATTGAAGTCGGAGCGGGCTTGTAATTTGAGATTAGAAAAGAGGTTGGATCAGTATGAGTGGGAAGAGCAGCTAACCATCTTCTCGAGTCTTCATTCGATTCACGCTTCAAGGGTAACATCATGTTTGTCCTAATTAATAAACAAATATTAATTAATTTATATTAATTGAGATTAATGTATGTTAATTGATTATTGAATCACATGAATCTATATGTTCGATTATGTGTTTATGTGAATCGTTCGTTAAGCATGTTTATTATTTGATTTAATTTCGCGAGCATGCTATGATGATTTTATTTACGTAATTTAAATTAATTATATATGCGAGCATGTTTGTCGGTGATAGGAAGCGAAAACATACACAATTAATTGTAATTATTGTGCATGTGTTTGTTTATATAAATTAGCTTTTATAAATAAAGTAAAAAAAAAAAATTCCGATGCATACACGTGCCCGATCCCCAACAGTGGTATCAGAGCTACGGTTGCGCAATTAATTGCCCACGTGTTTATTGCTTTCGATTGCATGTGAATAGTTTATTGAATTGATAAAATTGGTGAAATTGGAATTGGATTGGTTTAATTTTAATTTGATTTTAAAATTTGATTTGATCGATTTTAAAATTGGAATTAGAAAATTGGATTTAATTTTAAAATTGGATTTGATCAATTTTGAAATTGGAATTAGAAAATTGGATTTTGGTTGTAACACCCCACCTTTCCAAAACCCGAAAACCCTAAAACCCGAAACTAATATTTCTAACTCGAGAAATATTATTACATGATATTATGTGACTTACGTGAATAATTGCATGCGTTATTTAAATTATTTCATGATATTTATTTTGTGAAATTCGTGAGTAGATATATATGTGTGAATTATGTGATTTAGTATCATTTCCGTAAATTGAAATTCAAGGAATTTCGTGAATTACGTGACTTATGTGAATAATTACATGTCTTGATTATTTGGTAAATTACTTTCGAAATGTGGCAACTTATGTGAATTAAAAATATAGTACTATGGTATGATTATATATATACATACGTACATACATGCATGCATATAGATATACACATATACATACTATTACATGCATTATATATATATATATATATATATATATATATATATATATATATATATATATATATATATATATATATATATATATATATATATATATGACCGAATGTGTGTGTGCGTCCGGATTGCGTGTGTGTGGTGTGCAAGTTGTGTTTATTTTTAAATAAAATAATTACTGATTATATTGCATGCCTTTCCACTTGGCACACCCTAATCATTTCCTAAACCCACACTCAAAGTAACCCAAAATACACCCTTCATCTTTCTTCTTCCAACACCTCAACCCCGTACTTGTCTTCTCCATTTCTCTCCACCGAAGCCATCACCTCCACCATCGGCCTTCATCTTCTTCCACCTCATCTCTTGTTTTACAAAGAAAATGAAAAATCATTTCAAAAGTCCTCTATTTAACCATGGACTTTGAGTAGCCTACAACATCATTCTCCGAAAAAAATACACATCTCCCTTAAAAATCCACTCATGTTTCACAATTAAAATAGCTTGGCTAGAGCTTGGCATCAACCTTCGAAGCACTTCCCTTCGATTTTTCCTTCATTTTCTTTTGGTTATAAGGTAAGAAATTCTTATTTCTTGCTGCAATTAAATGACATCAATAGTATTAAAATGGATTTCAAAAATATTAAAAGATTTGGAGTGATTTCGAAAAATTAAGGCTTTTTGGGGAAAAATGGAAAAGATGTGTTTAATGTTGATTTCCTGCTCTTGCATGCATCATCATTGTTGGTAGTCGGTACATACAACTTTTATTGGCCAAAAGCATTAAAAATTTCGGAGTTCAAAAAGGGGTTTCAAGAAAAATGAATTTTTGAACTTTTATGGGGTTACATGTGTAAATCGAAAGATTTTTGGGTCAAATCTTTAATTTTTGAGAAGTCAGTCCTAAATGTGTTTTTCAAAACTGTTTTCCAGCATTTAGTGTACAAAATGTTTTCGGATTTAAAGAATTTTTGCAAGAAAAAGTGATTTTTGAACTTCTAGTGGTCTTGCATGAATAGATCTAGAGATTTTTTGGTAAAATATGTAATTTTCGAAATTTCTGCATAAAGTGACTTCTTCAACTTCGTTTTATGCATCTAATAGAGTAAAATTTCAGATTGTTAGGGGTTTTTCAAGAAAAAGTAGATTTTGAACTTCTAGTGTGGTTGCGTGTGTAAATCTTGAAACTTTGGGGTCAAAACTGCAATTTCCGAAAAATATCTAATTTTTAAAATTTGGATCTGTTTTTCAGCAAGTATTAAATGGGGAAAAAGTTTTCTTTACAAAGTTTTCAATGTAATCAAGGTCACATGAGAGGTTTGGTTTTTTAAAAGAAAAATGGAATTTTCGAGTTTTTAATTTCAAGAAATATCGAAACTTTGTGAAAAACTTGAATTAATTTCAGAATCTGAAACTTGGATCAGTTAGGAGTTCTAGGATTTAATTTGGGAATTTTTGGAATTAGTTTGCTATTATTTCGAAATTAGGATAGTTTGCATGTCATTTATTATGTTTTGTGCTTTTATTTTCATGTCTTTGATTTAATGACTATGAATGATGAGATTTGGGATTTTATACCTTTAATTGCTGCCTGGATGTGGATTAATTGCTGTGAGAATTTATTGGAATGGATTATTACCTAGATGTGGTAATAAGTTCATTTAATGAAAGGTGAAAAAGGGGTGCCTGCTCTACAAGCATGGTTTAATATTAAATGGTGATGTTTAATGTGTGACTGCATGTGTGTGTGCTGAATATGTGTGTTTGTGTGCTGAATGTGCATGTGGTGTGTGCCGTGTGTGGTTGTGTGTTTATATGTGTGAATTTGGGGAATTTTGCCCAAAGGTATGAATATGTGGTAAATTGTGATATTTGTGTGATTTTGTGGCACTTGATTGATATTTGTGATGTTATGTGTGGGTCATAGGCATGATTTCGAAAAGTTGCATTAAATGGTTTTCAAATTGAAAGATTAATGGAATACTGGGTAATACACAACTCGGATATAGTGGGCCGGTATCCAACTAGGATGATGTGTTGTGGTTTGATTCCACTTAGTAAAAACGGGTTCGTAACAGGTTTATTATCCAGGTACATAAATTAATCTTTCACGGATCCGATAAAATGAAAAATGTGTTTTTCACGATTTTCATAAAAAGGGCATTTTAGTCATTTTGCATAAAAAGTGTCTATAGCGTATTTTCAAAGTTCGATATTTCATCGAATTTCTTACTGAGCTTCATAGCTCATATAGATGTCTTTTAATTGCACGTAGTAGTGCTAGTAATCCTCAACCGGGATGGATCGAGTAGCGGATCGAGGTCTTGCCCGGGTTTTTGGAAGTTGTACGAGGACCTATGAATGATGCTAAAGTCTTTTGGTTATTTTCTTTTGGTGATGTAATATTAAACCTAATTATTTCCTTTTCGTACCCTTTTAAACTCGTTACCGATATGAATCGTACTTAGCATGGTAAGTTTCGTAATGTTGCCATTTTCATGCCTCCATTAGTGATTTCCGAATTATTCACCAAACTAACCTTTCAAAACTCTGATTTCTTCTCGAACCGAAAACCGATAGTGATACTGTAGCACTCGAACGAAAAACCTCCCCTCGAAACTTGTTTCCAACGATTTATTCAACTTAAGTCACCTAAGAAAGTTTTCGAAAAATGCAAAGTTTTAATATTTGCATTTTTTTCCCATTTTTAAAGTTTTAAAAATTACAAAGTGATCCTTTGCTTCCCCTAGTTTATTGAATATTCCGATAAACCGGTTCGATTTATCGCCCGTCTAGAAGGGGGGTGCTACAGTGAGTGGTATCAGAGCATGGTTCATAGATACTCTTACGAACTTCACGGGTTTAGAGACTACTCGAGACGCGAAGCTCGGACCATCTGGTAAAGTATGTGCATTACTTTCTTTATGTGTTTTACTTGCTTTATTTATTAGTTGTGAATTAATATAGAACTAATGGCGAGACGTATAACCCGAGGAAACCCGAGCAATCCTTCCGATACACCACAAGACCACAATCAAACTATCAATAATCTCTCAAACTTAATCCGTGAACAAGCCCAAAACGACCAACGCCAAATCGAACAACTCCTCCAACGTAACCAAACCCCGCCTCAAAACAATGCGCCTCAAGCTATATACGAACGATTCCTCAGAATGAACCCGTCCTAATTCCACGGTGGAACCGACCCCGCTATAGCCGAAGAGTGGATCAAATCTCTCGAAGTCATATACGACTATATGCAAATGACCGGCTGCGACCGCGTACATTGTGCCATATTCCTACTCCGAAACGAAGCTCGTCACTGGTGGGAAGGAATGAAAGAAGGGACGAACCTCGAGACTCTGCCATGGACCGATTTCAAAGTCCAATTCTTCGAAAAATATTTCTCGAAAGACGTGCGAGCCCACAAACTCAAAGAATTTCTCGAACTCCGCCAAGGCGACTTACCAATGATCGAATACATCCGCCGTTTCGAACGTGGCTGCCTTTACGCCCCATTCATCGCTCGAGACGCCAAAGAAAAGAAGAATCATTTCATTTGTGGCCTCCAACCCGAAATCCGTAGAGACATTCGTATGTCCGACGCCTCGACTTTCCGCCAACTCGTAGACAAAGCACTCATGGCTGCCCAGGACGAGGAAGAAAATCAAAACAAACGCCGACAGCCACCAAATTTCCAACGCCCGTGGAAAAAGAAAAACTTTGGCAACCGCCCATTCCGAGGAAAAGGAACGCAGCCCATCCGCCAACCAACCGGACCACCGCCACCGCCGCCAAGGCCAACATGCCCAAAGTGTGGAATGAGTCAATCCGGAGGATGCATACAAGGAACGAGAAGTTGCTTCCGATGCCATCAGCCCGGACACATGGTAAACGACTGTCCGAAACCTCCACCGAACGTCCCCGGTCGAGTGTTCGCCATGACTCAAGACCAAATCGAGCAAGACCCGTCTATGATAGCAGGTATCATATTTTTCCTCGAAGAACCCATTTATGCTCTAATCGACTCCGGCTCTACTCATTCCTTTATATCGAAAGGCATAATTGCACACTTAAATCTCGAACCGAATCGACTTAATTACGAATACCGAATTCTCATTCCCTCTGGCGAAGAAATGTGCTCCAATCTAGCCATAATCAATTGCCCAATCCGAGTTCACACTCAACCCATGTATTTCGATTTAATCCTCGTACCGATCCAAAACTTCAAAGTTATACTAGGCATGGACTGGTTAACCAAATTCAAAGCCCAAATTGATTGTGCCTCAAAAACGGTCATTTTTCCCCTTCCGAACGGCAAAACCCTAAAATTCCGAAGCCAACCCAAAATCTTGATTCCAATCATATCCGCGATCAAAGCAGTCAAACTCATTGACAAAGGCCATTCCGGCTACTTGGTGGATATTCGAGTCCGATCCCAAGGCCCAAATATCCGACATTCGAGCTGTCCAAGAATTTCCCGACGTATTCCCCGATGACGTTCCCGGACTCCCACCTGATCGAGAAATTGAGTTCAAAATCAATCTCATTCCCGGAGCTACGCTAATTTCCAAAGCCCCGTACCGTATGGCCCCGATGGAATTGAAGGAGCTGAAGGACCAAGTTCAAGAATAAATACGGATCCCTTCGCCTTTGCATGGATTATCGTGAACTCAACAAAATCACAATCAAGAATAAATACCCTCTTCCTCGAATCGATGATCTTTTCGACCAACTCAAAGGCTCATCGGTATTCTCTAAAATCGATCTCCGATCCGGTTACCACCAACTCAAAATCAAAAATCCGGTATTCCCAAAACAGCTTTCAGAACCCGATATGGCCATTATGAATTTGTTGTCATGCCCTTCGGTCTAACCAACGCCCCCGCAGCTTTCATGGACCTGATAAACCGAGTCTTTCACCAATACTTGGACCAGTTTGTAATTGTCTTCATCGACGATATTCTCATATACTCCATAACCCAAGAAGAGTTTATGTCTCACCTTCGCACTGTACTCGAAACTCTCCGATCGCATCAACTATACGGCAAGTTCAGCAAATGCGAATTCTGGCTATCGAATGTGGCTTTCCTTGGTCACATTGATTCAGAAAAAGGAATCTCCGTCGATCCTAGCAAGATAGAAGCGGTGTCAAATTGGTCAATTCCGAAGTTTCCTTGGACTAGCCGGCTACTACCGCAAATTCGTGAAGGATTTCTCGAAGCTTGCCTCTCCACTCACCCGATTAACTCGAAAAGACGTCAAGTACCAGTGGACGCCCGAATGCGACGCCAGTTTCACTGAATTAAAGGCTCAACTCACCTCGGCACCAATTCTCGCACTACCGGAGAGAGTCGGAGAATTCATAGTCTACAGCGACGCCTCAAAATTAGGTTTGGGCTGTAACACCCCGCATTTTCGGTAAAATAATATTATGTTATTTTACCACCTTTATGTGAATAATTGCGAAATTAGAATTTATAATAATTCTTGCATGGTTAGTATTTAGGTGAATTGGGTAATTATGTGAATTATGTGATTATGTGAATTATGTGATTATGTGGATTATTGTGTGCAATATGTGATTACGTAAATTATTGGGTGCATTGTGTGATTATGTGAAATATGTGATTAGGTGAAATATGTGATTATGCGAATTATGTGAATTATGTGCTTAGGAAATATTTCGAGATATTATTTCGAAATAAATTATTTTCATGAATTAAGATTTTATTCTTGCATGTGATTTTTTAAATGAGCATTTCATACACAAAATTTTAGAAAATAAATTTCCCCATGCATTTTTGGATTTTTAAAATTAATGTCGAAAATTAGAAAATGCTCCCCACATTTTCTTGAATTTTCGGACATCACTCACACACACACACATGATTTTTAAAATTTCATATTAATTAGTATAAGACATGCATTGGTGTGGTTGTACCTTGAGCATAGAAAGAAATACCCAAAAGCTAGCCCCCTACCCTCTAGTCTAGGCTTGCTTTTCCACTCCCACACACCACTTTAAGGCCAAAAGTATTTCTTTCTTCTTCTCCTTCCCCTTCATTTCGGCAGCCACCACCACCACCATAGCCACCACCTTCTCAAAGCTTGAACCACCCAAGAACCACCACCATCTCAACTTTCGAAAATTTGCAAAATCACCCCTACAAAAAAAATGTATTTTCCTTTCTTCTCCATTGGCTTTGAAGTCTCCAAAAACTCTATAAATACCACTCATGCCCAAGATCAAAACTCACTCTCAAACTCCACTCTTACAATACTTAAGTTCAAAGTCTCCTTCTATTTCAACAAGAGGAGAATTTTCGGCCAAGCTTAGGAGTAAGCTTCTCCTCCCTCTTCTTTCTTCTTCTTTCCCGAAAGAGCAAAGCTCTTCATCCTCCTCTTTCTTTTGTTTTCTTCTTATTTTCTTAATCTAACTCTTAATCTCTTCTTGTATTAGAGAGAAAAGAGCTAACAAGCCCTTCCCCTAAAGAGTATAGGTGAGAATTCTTGAATTCTTGCTCAAACCTACAACACCACTAGTATTTTCGGTTTTTATGTGTTTTTATGTGTTTTTATTGTTGATTCTTGCATATTATGTGATTATGAGTTTTAGATGATGATTGCATGTTAGTATTTTGAAAAGATAGCTTTATTCTTGAAAATTTATGATTTTTCGAAAAATTGGGGAAAAATGTTTTAAATGGCTTATTTTGCTTAATTAGTACTTTGCATGTGTTGATCTAGTGTTTGATTGTTGATTTTTGAAAAGAAGATGAATTTTTGGCCTAGCCATGAAACTTTCGGATTTTTGGGGAAAAAATGTTTTAAAAGGCTTATTTGGTTTAATTAGTGTCTTGCATGTGTTAATCTAGTGTTTGATTGTTGATTTTTGAAGAGAAAATGAATTTTTGACTTGACTAAAGAACTTTCGAATTTTTGAGGTAAAATGCTTAAAATGGTTTATTTGGTTTGATTGCTACTTTGTATGTGTTGATCTTGTGATTGATTGTTGTTTTAAGGTCTTGCATGTTAAGATTGGAGATTAATTGTTGATTTAAGGTCTTGCATGATAAGATCTAGTGATTAATGGTTGATCTAAAGTCTTGCATGTTAAGATCTAGTGTTTTCTATGAAAAATGGTTTAAGAACTAAGAGTTGTGCTAATTCGATTTAAAATACTCTTGCATGTGAAGATCTAGTGTATTTGCTTGAATAAAAGTGAAGATGAAAGTCTTGAATTTTATTCTTGTAAAATACTAGATCTAGTGAACTTTGTTGTTAGATTGTTTTTGCATGTTAAGGTTTCGGTTATTTCTATGTTTTTATGGCTAAATGATTTTGTGAAACTTTATATGTGTTTTCTATGTGCTCCTATGTGCTCTTGCTTGCTTATGTGAATCATTGGGTGTGAGGATGAGAGAAGGGTAAGTAGAAGGGTGCATGGGTGGGTGCATAAAGTGTCATGAATTTTCAAAAAGATAAAACTATGTTGGAAAGTCTTTCGAAGTTACGGTAAATTTCTCGGGTACGGCGAGCCTGGTACCGTAGGGCCTAGGGGTGGTTTGATCCCACGTAGTTAGACATGGTTCGAAATATATGGTGATTTTTACCGGTAACTTAGATTGGCTCTTCCGAGGGATTCCCGACAATTTTTCATGTCATGCATGTGCATTTCGGTGTTGATGATTATATGGGAAAAATCTCACTCTATGGTCTTGGGACCGTAGGGTTATAAAGGTGGAAAACTCCTTCTATATTCTTCAATACGTGTCATGGCATAGGGTTATAAAGGTGGGATATTCTCACTCTATGGTCTTGGGATCATAGGGTTATAAAGGTGGGAATTATCTCACTCTATGCGTGGTGACAATTATGTGAATGAAGATCGCCGACGAAAAAGGGAAGTATATGATTGTTTTACTTCATGTTGTATGTTCATGTATAAGATATATGTATGTATATATATATATAGATATATGTATGCTTTATGTGCTATGTGTATTCGATATTACTTCAAGATTCTCATTGAGTCCTCAAAGACTCATATAGGTGTTGTATGTTTGTAGGTATACCCGATTTAGGGCCCGAGGAGTGAAGTTGGGAATCGAGCTCGAGAATCGGAAGGGGATCGTATGGAGGGGTTGTGGATAGTGTTGGCTCTTAATTTGGTTATGTGGTTCTATTTGTATAATATGCTTGTTAAAACGTTTGATACGGTTTTAGGTATTTTCTACCGATCGCTTCCTCCGATCGGTGGAAATTATTAAAAGACGATATGTGTAATAGTAATTAGGGTTACCCTATTTTGGATAATTAATCGGTAATCCGTAGCCTTTTGTAAGCGAAAGCAAATTTTCACTATTTATATGCATGTATGCTTTCGGCTATTAGTTTCTTCGTATTTTACCTCCATGTTCTAAAATCGTTTTCATATAGGTGTTCTGCTTAGAAAATTATGAGATTTTAGGAGTCTCTGCATCTCTCTTTTCTCATCATATTGATAGGTCTTTTGCATGTTTTGGGTAAGTATTTATTTAGTTATGATTTGTTTCTCATTGCTGCATCGAAACAGGGTCATTCGGGTGTTTTCTGGTATAACTGGAGTTTTACTCACTCAAATGCTTTGTTTCCAATTGGAAAATGTTTTAAACTTACCTTTCTGCCTTGGGGTAAAATTTGGTAGTTTTTGGGTCAGTGAGGAATTTATTATGAATTTTCAAATCTCCCTCTCCTGTTCTGGATTTTTAAACTGAGTGACTGTGCCATTTTATTTATTTCTCCCAAATGGCCATGCATCTTTCAAAACTGTTTTAACTGAGTGATCTAGACCCGTGTTAGGTGTTATGGTGAAATTTTGGGATTATTTTCATGAGTAGTTTAAGAGGAATTAATTTTTAAAGCTTCTGCATTGAATCTGTCCGCATTTGCATTAAGTTCATTATGTCTAGTTAGTTTCTAGTCTTGCATGTAGTATGCTTTTGTGTTATATAGTTTATTAGGGTTTAGCAAGCTGTGCCCTCTCTCCCTCTGATTTAAAAAGAAAAATTTTTACGTAAATTTTATATCCACAAAAATCATGTTTTCAAAAGTCTTCCGCTGAGATTACATATAATAAGGGTAATCGAGAGAGGGGTGTCACATGGGCGCCGTACTCATGCAAAATGGAAAAGTCATTGCCTACGCCTCATGTCAACTCAAAGAGTACGAACGCAATTATCCAACGCACGATCTCGAATTAGCTGCCGTCGTTTTCGCCCTCAATCTAGAGATCTCTAAGTGGTTCCCAATAATCGAGTAGAGGTTTCTATGATATAGTTGTACACCAATAATCCTTAAGACCCAGACATCACCGTGACTTCGCTAGAGGGACCAGCTGTATCCTGACCTGTCCCTGAGTTCCACCGAGGACCTCCCCAAGGGCCAATGTTCGTGTAGTCCAAAATCAAGTGGGAGGTATGTGCATTGTAGTAGGAGATTCGATCGCTTGAGTAGTCATGGATATCCTGTGTGTTCTTGCGATTTATAATCCATTGGACATGTAGGTTATTTCGTATTGGTTTATCATGTGGAACCATAGAAGGCATTCAATCCCTACAAATGGCTATCTTTATTTATGCATCAATGTCGAT